CTCCAATATCCTTCTAACTCTAGAAGATTTAATAAGCCGACTAGTCAAATCCCAAACTACCGCTCTTCATTTGTACCCAACCCTTTAAAATTACTGTGGCTAATTTTGTATGGATCACAACACTGCAGGGATTAAGGTTCTCAAATTTTCTAGGACCATACACTTTATCATTTTATCATACTTCAATTTTACGCTGCTATTTAAATGGGATATAACGCTAGATCAAGCGGTAACATAAATATATGACTCACATATTTCAAATCAGCTTACAGAAGTACATATACGGCGAATAAAAATGGAACTCTATTATGTGTACATCCATTTATGATCATTACAAATTTCCTCTCAAACTCAACCTCTCATTATACGCTGATCCTCTTTACTAACTCTAGTATATAACCTTTCTTACTGAAATATATAGATATCTTATTCATTGCACTTTTTTTCTGTTAAAAATATTTGTAACAGTTTCCTTCTTTCAACACAATATCAAATACAGTACATAAAAGTCAATGGGTATGTTCTATAGCTTTAGAATCTAATTCAAACAAACCAATGATATTTACTTTTACAAAACAAAACGAGAAGAGAATCTACCAAGTAGATGTGTCTATAATTAAAAAGAAACATGTGTCCAGCAAAAAAAGTGAATTTGTGTAACTTTTGTTTGCTCTCTCTACTTGAGATATGAAAAGGGGTGACTCCATACTGAAGCCGCGAATTTCATAATCATACGTACGTTTGAATATAAGATTTCATTTGCTACAAAACAAATTGATTTTCACATCAAAGTTCAAAACGGAAATAAAAACTTGGTTACAAAACATCTTCCAACATGACTTTTTGAGACGGGAGAGTCCAATCCAGATTGGTACTGCTCCCTTCTCTCGCTTAACCAGCTATCACACACTTGATACATTTTGTTCAATTAGGCATCGCATCATACTCCTCGACTGGGAACATGCACCAGTCTCCTTTTCAAATGGCAGGCTGTCTCCATACTATACACAATCTACAGATGAATAGGCAAGATTAAGAAATATTTTCTTTCATAAATACTGATTACACATTTAACAAATCTATACACTATAGAAAAATAGATGTCTTTGCTAACATACACTCCACTCCAGTGATGAGTTTATCTTCCAAAAAAGTCCAGTAATTCTCCTTAATGGTAGAGAAACTCATTAATATTCCCACAAGAAATCTACTAGAATCAATCCCCTTGGATCTGTTTTCAATTCATTTTATCAAGTCTCATTTATGCACAAGTATAGTTTTATATCAAACACAGCAACAATTTAAATGAGTACCGTACACCGGCTCTTCTCTAAACACCCCTAAAACGTCACACTAGCATTCCATACAAGCTTGCTTGATAACATAGATATGAAGCATCTGCTAACTCCATTTCCCAAGCATAATCATTCATTTTTTTATGTTTTACAACTGCAAATCATTATACACCATTGCTGTACTAACAAGCTAGAGACTGGTACCATTTCTCTAGCAGCTAAATAACCACTAATCCTAACGGGGGTAGGACGACTTTGTTATGATGAATACCTCACCATTCTATTACACACTTTTGGCATTGTTTAATTTAGGGAGCCTACATGCATATAGCTCCTTCTAAGTACATGATCTATTGCAAGAAGGCTTTAAATCCTTATTTTAAGTCTTCCTAGCTGTGGAAACAGACATCGTGTGAAACAGCCCGCCATTCACACTCTACTCATCATGTTTACATTTACAGAGGATAGAACGTAGTATGTACACTTTACACTGCAATTACATTTTACCAAATGTAGCAAAAATATTCATTTGTATGATGACATCATTATCTACATGACTGGAGAGACAATATATGAATCATCCTAGTCCTAGTAATAATAATTCCATAATAATTTCATCCTAGTTTCTAAAAAATGAAATATGAGAAAAGACCACTCGATCTCTTGAAAGAACTCGCTATACAGCCTATGGCTAAGAGAATGACAGCTTTATGTACAATAATATATCAATCCCGATCATCGTCTTATACATAAGCCATTGATAAAATTGTATGCTACTACATGCTTCTTCGAAAAAAACCTTGCCAGAGGCCAGCCCGATTTGGCAAAGATTTCCCGCTGTGAATATAAAGTGCCCTGAAAAGGGCTTCTTGTTGTTGATGCATCATACAGTCCTCTTACAAGTGCATCGTCTACACAGCTCAAAAAGCGTTTTATCTGCCGAAAGCGATATGAGCGTTAACTCGTTAACAGAGTTGATGTCCGTCTGGTTCTGGGGGGGTGATTCTCAACAAGCATTCTCATAAAAGGTTTATCGTCCCTGAAAGCAATAGCCGAATTCAAACATTTTACAACATGACATCATCTTTAACATATTTCTTCACGTGTGTCTTAGCAATCTGAGTCTAAGGTTTGATGTATCAAATCTCCAGACAGACCAAATATATACGTAGAACATTGGTCAAACGTTATAGGTGGAATTGCCACTGAGACATACATTTAAACTATCTAAGATACTTCAATGACTTCATGAGCAGACACTCTATATAGCTCAACCTGTGACATGAAAAATAACTTAAACACGGCCATTCACGGCATGCAGAAAAGCACAAATGACAAGGAATACAGAGGAAGATATTCAAAGCATTTCATCACATAAGCTCATCTAGTTACTGTTTTGTTACATTTCTATTCAAAAAGCTGCAGCAGATTTTGAGAGCAAAAATTTCACCAAATTGTACAAGCAGCCGCACACAAAAAGTTCATGAAATCACAAAGTTCATCCCCACAAAAACGACACCTACAGTCACCAACGAGCTAATGTCATCACAAATTCCATCCTTCCTATTACAGTATTTTACCATACCATTTATGAACTCAGATCACAGAAACGTCTATGGAATGATTATTTACCTTTAAAAAAAACGACACCAAAAAACCTTCACAAAGACATCATAATAACACTGAAATCTTTACTTGCCGTCTGCAAAAAAATGCAATTCCCCTCACGAAATTGAGTAATGGCCATATACAGCTACACGTAGGAAACCACAACACGCATAATACCACTTCCATTGTTCCAAAGTCACACACTATTTTTTTTCTGAGAATACTATGACATAGTTCATCAAACCTCCTCCTCCTTCTCCCATTAACAATCTATACAGGTGCAGCATGCATGTATTTAGACACTTTGTTTTGCCATTCCATTCCTCTCCTCTTTGTACGGTTCTCAAAAACCGATAATCAGAATACATATCATCAAATTCATGAAATAACTGGATCTAATCACATTTGTTTTAGAGTCACTGTATAAAACATATTTGTATCTGACAGGTCAAGGCTTGTTCAGACATGGCGCAGTATACCGCCGCAAAAAAGCTACCACGGTTTTATAATGTGTATATGACTGGCAACTACGATCAACAAAGAACTTGCACGTATGCAATGAGATACAAATTTCCTTTCACTTGGATCATTTTCACAGCCAATCTACATATCAACTGTAATGCATCCCCTTTCCTGTTCTTTCAAAAAAAAAGAGGAAGAGATATGAGCTCATTGAAATTTTGAGCAAGATACCATAACAGTTATTCCATAATCCTCTTTACTTTCATTTCTCTTTTGTTGTTGTATATACCCAAGAATGTTATGGCTGCAACGTTTTGGCCATGATAATGCTTACAAGAAGTCTAAACAAAATTATTGAATGGTTATTTTTAACAAGTAATTAGGGTACTTTCTCCCTGGTATGAGTTATAAATGAGTTCCAAAAAGACACTTGAGATTTCAAACACATATTCCAAGGCACGTCCCATGTACTCGAGTACCAGTTTAAGGGCAACACTTTCGCTCATTGCATCAAAAACACGTTTTCATTTGCTTGCGCCCATAAATATGAACACAACCTACATTCAATTGATTCCATGAACATTTATCAACTTCAACCTTCACATTTTGTGGCATCTCTTTCATACTTCATCAATACTTCAATACCTTCATTTCATTGCTATGATCAATCACACTTTGCTTTCTTCTCTAACTGCAACAACTGAAACAAAACCTCTCCAATGGTGTGATGTACATGACTTTTCATTGATACAGATTTAGAATAACATTTCCATCCATCTTCCTTTGCTTCAAGTCTTCCTACATCATGTCAAAAACCTCTTGAATGGTGTGCTACTAACATGACAACGTTTTAATGACACAGATTAGAATAGCGTTTCCAACAATCTCACTTGGCTTTCTTTCCTTTCTGCAACATTTAAAAAACCTCTCTAATGGTGTGATGTGAACATGACAACATTTCATTGATATCGAACAATCACACTTTGCTTTATGTTCTTTCTGCATCATCTCAATAACCTCTCCAATGATCATGTGATGTAAACACAACTTTCATTTCATCCATACCATGGTACAGTACCAAGTCCAATTATTGCACTTTAAAGCCCAACTGCACTACTTATAGCTACTTGCGCCCTCCATACAGCCAACAATGCCTTATCGGTGCCTGTTGGTCCCCCATGATTCTCTTTTTCTTATGTTAATTGAGAGCTGATTTGATGAGATAACCACCTGCCAGTGACCTTGCAGTGATATCTAGTCCCTCCATGCCAAACTAGTGCAGAGGGGCTTTAATAATTATATATTCTTCCAACTATAATCAAACCTGCCTTGCTATCCAGAACGTGTGTAAAGACCATACATTTGCCACTCTCCACCCAGGTCAAGAAATGGGTATGCGGTAGGAAGACATTCCCTGAATGCTTTGCTATAGCTGGGTAATAGTATGACACTTAGTATTAAGCGCAGTAAAGTATATCTGTATAATAGCTGCGCTAAATACGTGGAAACAATATCATTATGATAAGTTGGATATAGTTGAATCACTCTCTAATAGATACATGTATATATTGGTGGCCCTGCTAAATAGGTATGTACATGTAAGTCCATTTTCATGATTTCTTAGTGATTTCTTTCTTTTTTTTCTGCCACTAAGCAAAGCTGTTCTAGATCAGATGATCCTCATTACTTGTGACTGGATAGTTCCCCAAGATGCTTAACTTTCTCTACTCATACAGTGATTGGGGCTCATTCACTTCTCAAGTTCATCAAATCCATACTTTGGAGGTGAAAGTCACTTTGGTAAACAGCATGCTATGCTCACACTTCATGTTTAAAGCTTGCTGCACTGAAGACCAAAGCAAAGTGTCAAGGAAAGTAGATTCCCCCTCCTTGCCTCATGTGCAAATAAACAGGTAAATTCTTAGCATATGACCCATTTATGGGCTAGGTGTGCGACCCCTTCAGCGACATCATCAAAGCAAATAGTTAAGAGCTTTTGCCTGCCTAGCATTCCAAGGATATTTATGAAAAGTAAAATAAGTTGGGCTCCTCAAGGGGTGGAGCCTTTTTTTTAAAACTTTACAAAGGGGGTTGTACTCTCATTTTCATTTGGGAGTCTGGTTACCACTTCCATTGCCTTGAAGATTGATATGAGGTTGCCCATGCAGGGCTATGTGTGTCACCCCTCCACTGGCTGCCCCGGGGGGTGCCATTCCTTGCATAATAGTGGTAGGTGGTCTGCCCTGGGCAGCTTGAGCATGCTGGAACTGGTTCACACCGGGGCTGGCCGGATAGACGAAGATGGTCTGGCCGTGCTGCAGAGCAGGCGAGGGAACCGAGATGGTGTGGAGGGCCGGGGAGCCTGGTTGGGCCTGTTGAGGAGCAGAGAGTTTGACCAACGGTGACATGGGCTTGGGTTGCTGGCTCATGTGGGGCGAGTAATGGAACTTGCTCATGGTAGGGGAGCCCTGAGGGTTGGGGGAACCCCCTCGTGCCATGGGGGATGGGGGCGGGGCTGGAGTTAGGGTGAACTTGGCGGTGAGGGCAGAGTTGGAGCTGCTGAGAGGGGTAGATGATAGAGCCATCTTGCTGGAGGGGTTGGGACCGCCTAGGCGAACACTCTTCACAGACGTCAGGTGAAGTTTACCGGGCGCTGGAGACTTTGGTGTGGACGGAGTACCTGAGCACAGAAGAAACCAAACAGATCATGCAAAGATTAGAATATCTTACTCAAAGTATAAAAGTCACCCATAAATATTTCATTATTCATACAACGATCAACAAACTGAAAGGATCCATGAATTAATGTGTGTAAGTGATGTGCACATAATCCCCAAGAACGCTCATATCTTGAATAACATGGAGAAGTCCCGCTTTGAGCACTTTAGAATAATCACTGCCAAAATGAAGGTGGTGTTTCATGAATATTTTTTGTTTGCCATCTCGAAAAGAAAACCTCCACCTGTGTTTCATAGTAACATATTTAATTTTTTTGGATGTTTCTTTCCTAGGGACCTAGTGATGAGGTATTCCATTAACCTTTTATTAATGAATGAACTACATTACTTGTTGCTTTGTCCGACAAGCCTTGGACAAGCGTTTGGGTTGTCAAGAACGACTTTTCTAACATTATGCATAAAATTTGAATATGTTAGTATTGAACAGACCAGTTCACGGTTAGCGCTTGTCCCAAATGACGCCAAATATCAACAGATCTTCAAAACATGAAAAGGTCCTACTTTGTACATTTTGAAATAATCACTCCTACAGCGATGGAGGTGCTACATAAATAGCCTTTGTTTCCTCATTTCAAAGAATACTTCCATCTGTGTATCATAGAGCGCATTGCTCGTGCTTAAATGAATAATGATTACATAACTTTCATGAGCACGTATCCAGTATTTTGTCTCCGTGTATTTCGCAATTTGGTCTGCAATGACCTTTTTCTGCTCATGCTCAGACTGCAAATATGAACTGGCTAATGCCGGCCCAGGCAGGGCCTTACCTGGTACGGCAGCTTCTCCGTCCGGCCCTTCTTCATCCCAGGACTGCTGCATGATTTTCTGACGGACCTCACGGATCTTCAGCTGCAGACAGTTCTTTGAAGGGAACATGTCCTGGTGTTTGGACTGGAATGCAGCAGTCGACGGAGCTGTCAATCAATTGGGAGAAGAAAGAAAGAAAGAAACTTGTGATATTATGTAACACCACAAATGGGAGAGTTATTCGTCAGTACGTCACAATCCACCAACATTTCTGCCAATTTGATATTCGCATAGCTATAGTTATCTCATATTTCAATTAAAATTCACAAAGGAGGTTTAAATTGAACCCACGGTTTAAACCTTCATTAACATAACCCATGGTCTAAAATTAGCGCAAAATGAGCCCAGAGGTCTAATATAAGACGTGCAATGCAAGGTATGCCTAATTTTGACGCTTATTCTAAACCATGGGTTATGTTAATGAGGGTTTAAACCATGGGTTAAATCTAAACCTCCTTTGTGAATTCGGGCCAATATGTTTCTTAATATTGGTCCGATTCATTTTGAAATTCCACCATTCTGTTTCTCTCTTTTTTCTGTTTTCATTTAAATGAACCCATTACACGGGTTGGACTTCCCTTTAACTGTTGCCAATTTGAGGAGAGAAAACTGATTAATTAAAAAAACAAGAAAACAAACTCATGTCAGACAACCTTAGTTCCTGGGATAATAATTATAATAATTAACGGATAGTCAATCTGTTCGAAACGTCGAGCCACTCCCGTCACTCATCCTCTCCAAGCACTATAGTTCTCCTTAGAACTATAAGCTAAGAAAGATAACCAGCAGTCTTTTTCAAGACTATACCAACAGTCCTTTTCAGGACTAACAAACCCTCAAGAAAGATTACCGAGAGTCCTTTTCAGGACTCCTCAATCCTCCCTCTCTCTCTCACATGGTGCACCCGCAAGCCTACTGTATAAATTATACATTTATAGAGCGCAGAAACTATCCAACATTAAGTATATATTCTACTGCGCTACAAGAGCTCCTAATATGCTTAAATGACAGTTAATTGAAAAGGGATTGGGAAATAAAGAGGTGACTCACCCGAGGGGAAATAGCCATTGTTCTTGAAGAGTTCGGTGACGAGGATCCGTCTCTGATCCAAGATCCTTCGCAGTGTGGAGAGGGAAGAGGAGGAGGAGGAGGCAGAGCGTTCCAGCTCTCCTTCAAACTCGTCTATATCATCTGATGTCAAGAGAGAAGATTATGAACATATTTACATTACAGAGCAAGAGTGGTAGCAGTGGTGGTGGTAGTGGTGGTGGTAGCAGTGTTGGGCAGTAGTAGTGGTAGTGTTAGTAGTGGTAGTAGGAGAGGGAGGCGGAAGAGGAGTAATGGTAGTGGTGGGTCAGGTAGTGGTAGTAGTGGGTCAGGTAGTGGTAGTAGTGGTATTAGTGGTACTAGCCATAGTAGTGGTAGTGGTATGAGCAAAAGTAGTAGTGTTAGTGGTAGTGGTACTGGTAGTTTTAGAAGTGGTAGTATGAGCAGGAGGAGGAGAAGGCGGAATGACAGTAACCGTAGTGGTGGTGCATGTAGTGGTAGTAGTAGTGGCAGTGGTAGTAGTGGTAGCAGTGGTATTAGGATGATGAGTAGTAATAGTACAGGTAGAAGTAATAATAGCTAGGTATCATTCACATAGGGGATGCTCAAGGCACCCTCAAAGAATTACCATTATCCAGGCTCCAACATTTTAGAACTTGAGGAAGTCCTTCTTACCAATTTTTTGAAAAGTAAGCATTGTTTGTGTTTGGGTGAAATTTCAAAAGAAGCAAAACACCTTGACACACACAAAGATCTCAAAATGGAATAGTAATTAATTGATAGTTCTTCCTACCTGGCATACTGCCAATAAAAGTCAAGTTAACAAAAATAAACAAGATAAACACCTGTAACACACTCGAAAGAGGTAAATATCTCAAAATTGAATACTAATCCATTCACAGTTCTTCCTACCTCGCATATGGCCACTATAAGACTCCATGGGGGACTTGTCACTGAACTTAAAGACAGAGTCATCTCCGATCACTCTCTTGCCCGGCGTACTGGGTTCGGAGCTACTGGAGCTTCTACGGTGGGGTGACTTGAGCTTGCAGGGCGAGGTCGGGTCGTTGTCTGAATCACACTCGCTCTTACCTATTAAAATAACAATCATATATGGGATTTATTTTATTTATTTTGACACTGAGGCTCAAGCAAACAGAAATTATTCATATAAAGTTAATAATTGAATTATTCATACCCTTACCAACTTTCATAATTTTGTTAAAGCATGTGAAAAATTGATTTGTTGCGAATTGTCATTTCCACTCCCCCCCCCCCCCCCCCACACAAAATTATAATAATGATGCTAGTAATAACATTGATTATACAAAGGCTAATGAAGCTCATTTAAAGAAAATATTTTCTTTACAAACATGATTTAGACTTGAAGTCATGGCATATTGTTCACATGAGTGCATATTCCTTTTTCTCTTAAGTAACTCACAATCAAATTGAAGTTGAATCCATAGCATATTTACTTCCTAATGATTATCCAGCATTCTCCTGGGAGACTTCCTTTACTTGAAAGAATGTTATTACCGGTAATACTATCGTTGATATCCTGTTCTGGATTTATGAACCATGATTTCCTGTTTGCTACAAGAGGTTGGTTATTTATTTTGAGCTCAATTAAAATAGGTTTAACTACTGTATAATTATGTTTAGGTTGACACAGGGATTATTTAGTCTGCAGCTGTGTGGCTCCACTTCATTAACATACACGGTAAGTACAATTGCCTTTATATATATATACACCATGCAAATCCCATCTCATAAGAATAAAATGGACTTTTTAAATACTGAGTGGAAAATGGGCAAAATTTCCCTTCCTGCACATTCATAAGTAGTCACGTCATGTCAAAATATGATTCAAAGCTATGTCAATGTTCCAAAACTACTGTAAAAAGAAAAAGAAAAAGGATCATCCAAGAATGTGTAGTTCTCCCAGGAAGGATTCTTTTCATATCGAGAATCGCATCTTTGATTTGGAGCGGAAATAGAGAATCCACAAAGCTACATGCTAAAAAGGAATTAGAAGTTTATTTCTATTCAATTGCCCTAGATCCTATTTTTGGAGAATAAAATGGATCCAATGAAAGATGAACCCAACAGAAAAAAGTGGATAAGCTCCTCCAGTGAATACAGCAGTCAAATTTTGAGATGCAGTCAATGTTATGTACTGATCAGAAAATATGGAGCATACCTGCATTGTGATAAAACCGACTTATCATATATATTTGATGAATGTCTATGTCAATATACAGTAAACTTGGACAAGATTGCTTTGCTGAAAAGGGATTTGTCATGAACGTTTCTCCAGTTGGTGACATTGTAACAGAAGTCCACTGAGTCACTCCAGCTGTCATCTGTGGACATCTATTGACACATCTGTGCCGGACATAAACTTCATGGACTTGTAGAGTACTAAGGCGCTGCAAACATTGCTTTGATGACATTACTTGAAACAGGTTGGACCACGTGGAGGTTGCCATCTAGAAGGATGTCTTATTGACTTCAATATTACTTCAAACAATACACTACAAATCCAGTTCTGTTAATATCTATTTCCATTTGATACGTTCATTTCTAACTTTTGTTTGGGAATTTAAATTGTCCAATTGTAATTCATGTATAAGAGATCTGTATTTAATCACAGGTAACCATGTTAAAGCTTAGGAAGAAGGTTGTATTTAAATGCACTATGGTAAAACTCATCCCTTTGATCACAATACTTTGTGTAAATGGGTACCAAGTTAAGGCAGTATCCTTAACGCAGGGGCAAGAAGCAACCTTAAATTTCCCATACCCATGTGACAGCACAGAAGTCACATTACAGCATTCTTATAGACTCCCATTTTATCGCTCTTCAGATGGGTCACCACTGTCTTTGACACAAGATCAGGTGCAAAGATTCAACGTCCAGAATAGAAATAACAATGCCAATTGCTTTCTGGAGTTTTCAATAAGTAACGTACTGCCCATTGATCAAGGGACATACATTTTGTCTGTATACAAGGATGGGGAGATGCTAGTTGAACAAACACACAGGATTTGGTTACAGGTTGATTATCCTCCTGGTAAGGCATCATGTGTTGTGAGTGAAGATAAGGGCAGAGTCTGGGTCTCAATAGACTGTACAGCTAATGTTGGGAGTCTATCAGGAAAGATTGAATGCCATCAGAATGGTGTATGGATGCCTCCCCTAACTGATCCTACTGAAACCAATACTATATTGAAACAGACCATCCTCATCAGAAAATCACAGCCAGTATTTTGTTGTTCCTCTTCCACATTGGCTGAATACACTGAAATATGTGAATGTGATGATACTGCATTGTATCTAGATAATACCAGTAGCAGTGGCCCATGTCCAACCACATCAACAAAAACATCAACAATTTCTACTTACAGAACCCCAGATCTGGTCAACAATAGTCAGACTTTTAACTCATCGAACTATCCCCTACCATCAAACACAACATGCAAGAATGCCATCAAAATGACCGAAGATAGTTTGAAAACAATAATTATATATTCTATTTTGGCAACCGCTGTGGTCATAATGTTCACATTGAATGCATTTTTTCTATATAAATTGAGGCATAAACGGAATAACAGTAAATATCAGTCACAAGATCATTCAACATCAAAAAATGATGATGATGCTCAAGAATGCGTTAGTCTATAGTCATCAGTCATTGCAGGACTTTGCAGCTCACGATTTTCAAGACATAAAACAATTTCTGAGGAAATACCAATCATTACACCAATCATCCCATTATATCTTTCGAGACATCTGAAGGAAATATGAACTCTAAATCTTCTGGTAAATCTATATCAAATGTAGATTCCTTCTTTGCTATAAATGATTAAGTGGAGCTATCGCATTTGTAGATTTTGACACATTAATAAACATTATCATTATATAATATTTTTCTTATTAGAATATCGAAAGAAAATATAAGGGTTTGTTTTTCATCGTCTAGAAAACCAATGTACAAATATCTGTGGTAGTAGTACAATTGTAGAATATCGAAATGAAATACATGTACAATGTATAAGGGTTTGTTTTCATCGACTAGAAAACCAATGTACACATATGTATGGTAGTCTAAGCTCTATTTCTGTGTCAACTCTTTCTTAAGGTAATCGCTCTTTTTGCAAAGCTTCTGCTGAACTTGGGAACAGACTAACTTACATGTCAAAAACTGTCAAACTGTTAACCTATTCAAAAGTAGTCTTAAGACACATTTATTCAAAATTGCTTGATGATTAATTAACATGTTCACTTTGATGTATATGTATTGTAATTTGTAGGTTTATTTGCACTTTTTTGTTTTGTTTAATATGTAATTGTTTATCAGTCTATTTTGTTTGTTATAGGGCTAAGAGACTTCGGTGGTAAGAGGTTTATAAGTAACATTTTTTATTATTTTTATTATTAAGCACGGTTTTATTATCATTAGTAGTAGTAGTATTATAAAATCTCGAAAATGAAATATAAGGGTCTGTTTTCCGTCATTAAATCTAACAAACCACTGTTCCCATATTCAGGGTAGTAGTATCATAGCTTATGCATCATAACTGTAGAGATGTTGTGTTCTTGGATGATAAGTCACCTGACTGCAGATCACAAGGTACTGGACTTGAATCCACCAGTATGATCTACATTTGCCACTCTTCACCCAGGTGTAAATGGGAATAATATGCTTAAAGGGATCGTTTAACAATGTTATAACTGAGATACACGGCCCTACGTGTTATCAGTGTATGTGATATGATGTAATATTGAAGCCCTAAAAAAATTGCACTTCAAAATGATCAAGAAGTGCCTCAAAAAAGCAAAAATCTTGGAGTGACCAGTTCTACCATACTCGTTTTCCCCAATAGACTGTAGTGTTATGAAAACCGTCAGGCGAACGGTTTTCAAAATTTGTAATTCCAATCATAAATATCTTGATAATCAGACAGGCGATCGGCTTGTAAAAGTCACGGGGTTCCTGACTGACCTAAAGGTTTATAATTATCATTGCATCATGAGCTAAATCCAGAATATGTTTTCAGAATCTGAGACAAAGTTACCGGATCCCTTTAAGCGCTAGTTATTTTTAGTTATTTTTGAAGCTCAACTATAAGTGGGGTAATACAATTGAAGTTGTTGATGTCCATCTTATCTTGCTAAATTATGTTTATATGAGTTTAAGGGGACCAAACACCAAAGAATTCTTTGCTCTGTAAGGTCGAGATTCCATGCCAGTGTAGTATATTCAAAATATTTGATTCATACATTACTGCTGTACATGTAGATTTAAAAGTTTCAAGACATCCTAAAGAAATGTAAAAACTCATAAGAAGACTTGTTGACATACACAAACAAGCATTTGGAAATTAAAATTAAGCTCATATATTCAACATCAAAAAAAAATTCCCCTTATGCTCATTCTTTCAACCTTTTGAATGCCTCTGATAGTTTTCATGGGTAGTGGTTTTCATGTATGAAGACAATATTAAATAAAATAGTTTTTCAGTGATTGGTTCCTATCAAACCAAAAAAGTAATTGTGTGTATTACGAAAAGAAGAGCTTTGGTTTTTATACTTCAGAGTCTGTTCTGTAACATTAGGGACTTTTAGATTGAGTGGATGAGAACATGACGAACTCTGACTGATCATGTGTGTCAACGTACTCAACTGCCCATGTTGACTACAATTAGAAATCTTTTAGATTGCACTCGACGATATACATGCATGCAGGAATTAACACTATGAAAACCACAGACACAAAAAGAGGACAAAATATACAGTTCCTCATTCTACCCTCAACAAAAGAACATCCCTTCACTGCTATTATGTAAAAATGTGTAGAACAGGTGAATATACATGTGATTCCTGTTCTACACATTTTTGCATAATAGCAGGGAAGGGATGTTCCTTTGTCTACCTGAGGAATTGTATATTTTATGCGCACGCGGCATACTAGTACCTTGAGCATGTAAAGGCGCTATATAAATATCAATATGTATGTATTATGTACTAGATTTAGGAAAATCAAGGTTGACGCATTCCCGATCGCCGACTGAGACGACGTAACGCATGAGCAGTGCCTTAAAATGACGTCACACGTTGCAGTCAAAGCTGTAGACGTGCAAATCTAAAAGTCCCTTTTGTAACATTTGAGAATACTTCACATTATGATTTGTATTTTGTAGGATATAAATGAAATGTTAATACATTGACCTATTACTTGCATCTGTACACCTGTTTAAATGTCTTTACATAAAATCATATAATTCTTTAACTTGACCAATGTCGCATATAGTTTCTTCACTCATCCATTTAAAAGTTATTCTAATCTGTATCAATCTTGAAAGGGACTTGACCTTGAATGATGAAAGTTTGGCTGAACAAAAGCAGAAACAGAAGAACCACAGGAAAACATGAGTGAAAACTTGAAATATATTGAATGAAAAATAAGAAATGTGTGTACAAAACCAAACAGGAGTGTTCTCCATATATCCCATCTAAAATACATGATCATACTAGTAGTCGGGCACTTTGTTACAGTGAAATTAATTATTAAGCTAATTTGAAATGCTCATACATATAGTGATTAATTTTTTTTAAACTCTTATTTTTTGTCTGATTTAATTTATTCTTCCACCAGTCTGCTTCTGTGATTTTTCTGTTTTCCTTTTGAATAAGAGAAAAATATTGAGAAAGAGAGAAAGAAAGAGAGAGAGAGAGAGAGAGAAAGAGAGAGAGAGAGAGAGAGAGCGAGAGAGAAAGAGAAAGGAGGGAGATAAGGAGGAGGGGACTGGAAAGGCATAATATTTCTTTAAAAAATCTTTGTGGAGACCCTGAGAGAATATTTTATGAAACAATAAATCATACTAAAATATCATTAGATAAACTGGACTTTACAGTAACGTCTGCTCATCTGTTACTATGATTTTTCTGCTCCCATTCAAGTCACAAGAGATTAATTCATTCAATTGTTCTTGCGTTTAGTTTTTTAATCATTCAAATAGTTGCTGCGCTGTATCAATTGATTTAGTTAATACTTGGCAGGAATTAATTCCTTGAAATTCTAGAGCGCCAGTCATGCTAATTAGATGGGGTAATAATTGCGGAGCGCTAGGAGTGTCAAGTCTAACAGAGGTGAGCGCTATACAAAAATCCACTGCTATCATTATTTTTATCTACTACAAATAGCTCACACAAACAAATGTTTTGCTACTCCCAAAGTCAACCGAATACCTGACAAATACAGGCAAACCTGCTTTAGCAACCACCTTTATAGAAAGACTACCTGTCTATGAAGACCATGTATCTCATTTTCCTAGAAATGTATTTCCTAATCAAACCTGAACTAAAGCAACCTGTCTTCAAAGACCGACAAGACTTCAAGAGATGGCTATTCTTGAGGGGTGTTTATATACAAGGGGGTAATTCACAAAGACGATGATCGACTTTAAGTCAGACTTAACTATGGCAGGCCGTTCATGCCACCAGTTGCACACACCATTAGTCTCTCAATTATGACCTTTAGATATATTTTTTCCTACAATAATGAACTATCAAAAAACGTAAATTATGTACATTCGTGTCCCTTGAGAAACCAATGCTAGTAATTGATGAGAGAAAATAGTGGCACGAACGGCCTGCCATAGTTAAGTCCAACTTAAAGTCGATCTTAGTCTTTGTGAAACACTTCCCAGGTTCCATTGTAATTCTGAGGAGAGTATCTTACTTGTGGAGCCCTTTCTCTTCCTCCTATAGCTGCTCACGATGGCCTCTGCGGTGAGGGGCATGACGTTCCTCTCGTTGGTATGGTCCTCAGGATGATACTCCGGAAGCTGCCTGAACTGAGCTTCAAAGTTCACCTCCTCAAGGACCCTGGATTTATAAATAGGGAATCAATTACACACAAAGAAAACAAATAGAATTAGGCAATTATATAATCCTTTCAAATGAAATCTTGAGTACTGGTCACTGGAGAAGGACAAGTTTAATCCTGATGAACTATTCAACTGTCCTTGTTCATCCGTAACTGCACAATGCCAAATTCAAGAGTAGCCCACTAGCTGACACTGAGGGAAATAAGTTTTGTATAACTTTATGCCTACTTCCAAGGTATGATATAATCCTGTGATAGAGAATAATACAAGCATGTGGGGATGGAATTGAAGGTTTTCAGCATCCTACCTTTACTTCACAGGGCCGTTTCATAAAACTAGACGCCAATAACAAATGCCAAACTTCTATGACAAATTTGTCAACCAAATGCAATGACTTCAGCAGCTTATAACAGGTATTTGAACTTTTTTTTTTTTTTTTTGAGGGGGGGGGGGGGGGGGGGGGTTATAACAAGTTTATGAAACAGGACCCAGATTCCTACCTTCCACCCTATACATAACCCTGACCGATACCCTACATCTAGACTAAAGCACAGTTGTAACCCGAACCCCTACCCTAAATTTAACATAAAACACAGTTGTAACCCTAACCCTATGTCTTTATCAAAATCAAAGCCTGGAACGTTAAACTAAACATCGCATCATCACTTACTTTTCCATGCCATCGTCTATTTTCCTCTTCAGTATGTGTGACAGGTTCCTTGCGTCTTTGACTCCTGCAGCCTCTCCCCCTGATAATGCATGCATATCCATGGCAACTGAGGTGGACGCGGATGCAGCAGAAGTATCGCCTGTGGCAGGCTTGTTGGACAGTCCGTTTTCTTTGGTAGGGGTGTGGAGATCTGGCGGGTTGTTGTGAGCTGGCCGAGGGGCGGGGGCGGAAGCCGGTTCATTGGATGACATCTCTGCTGGTGATGATTGTCTGTGAGTGCCCTCTTGTGATCCCTCATCCTTCCTCTCCATCGACTCGGCTGGTTCCTCCCTCTTTCTCTCCTCCTCCTTCCGTCCTTCCTCTGGACTCTCTCCCCCTCCTGCTGTTGCTGGTGCTGGTGATGATGACGATGACAGATGGTCTGCATCCTTGTTGCTAGGCAACTGAGAGATGGTCTCTTCATCCTGGACTGGACTCTCCGCTGATTTGCTGGACTGCAAAACAAGATCAATCCAAAATATATAAACCATTGAGAGATACAACTTATAACATTTTGAAAATATAAAATCTTATGAACAGTTGTGATTGATCCAAATTAATCGCAAGTCCTCTTATTGATCAAAAGTTTGCAGTCCCATATCTCTTATATACGTAGTTGCGATTAATATCAACTCTTTATAAGACGGAGCCCTGCACTGCCTTTTCTCTGATCCGTACAACAGTCTTTCTAATTTCTAATTCTAGTTTGATGAAACACAGCCCAGGAGTGGCAAGTAAGACAAGCGTAAACGCTATACAAGGAACCACTCGTATTATTATTATTATTAATCGAAACCCCGGGGGGGGGGGGGGGGGGGGGGCGTTTCACAAAACTTGTCATCAGTGACAAATGACAGTTTTTGCTATAAGCTACTGAAATCCTTGCTTCTCATTGGTTATCAACAGATTTGTCATTGATTTTTGCCATTTTTCATTGAAAAAAGGCTTTGTGAAACAGGTCCCAGGTATCCTTACCCTAGTTTCTCTCCTTGGAGGTTTGCCTCCCTTGCCATTCTCCTCCATGTGTTTTTTGTACAGTCGACCCTTGCATGACCTTTGCAGCTTGCCCTTTGACCCCTCATGACCTCCATCCTCCTCATGACCTGCATCCTGTCCACTAGTTTCTTGGTTAGTACTGATAGTCTCCGATTGGTCCGTTTCCGATCTGTCTGTACCCGGCTTCTCGACATCATCATCTCCTCTCATTGCAGGTTTATCATTCACATGTGAATGGGTTTGAGGCCTTTCACCTTCTCTCCTATTTGCTTTCACCTCCCTGTTCAGACTCTTTTTGTTTGTATCTGCTTGGGAGTCTTTTCTCGAGTCCTCCTGACGATTTCTTGTCATATACTTCGAGCTTTGAGCCGGCTGCGCCACATGAGCACGACTCTCATCGGCACCCTGCCTGTTCGCACTCTGCCCGTCAACCTTCCCCGGAACTGCACTCTTGTCTGAACTACCCTCTTTCCCACCACCGCTGATCACACTCCTCTTCCCTGCCCCTTTCTCACTGGATGATGCACTCTGGATGGGTGCAAGCTTGGGCATGGCTTTGTAGCTTGCGTAGCTGGCGTAGCCCACGCTCGCTGAGGGGATGCCCCCCGAGGTGAAGACGGTGCCGTTGGAGGGGCCTATCTGCATGGTAGCGCCCATGGTCGTACGGGCGATCCCTGAAGGGCTGTGGGGAGGTAGGGTGGTAACGACGGGGATGGTAGCCAGAGTGGCTTTTATCTTCTTGGGGCCGGGCTGGATGCTCGAGTTATCAATCTGAAGCTGTGGCTGACCTGTGAAAATTTAAAAAAAAAAGGATTTTGATTTGATTTGATTTATTTCCCAACAGCAATATATATACATTTCATACAATGATTTTACATATGCGAGAAGAGAAACTATTGGTTGGTAAACGAGATGATAAACTGAATATAAGCTATTATTATGATGATGATGATGATAATAATCCATTTATGGTATAGTTGACAGAACATTGAAACAATGTTTAAGATTCAGCCCTCAAAATGCTAGACACAGGTAAACTGATTTAGTGTGGTAAAGAACTTTACTTATGGATGCAATATTGTAATCCTGTACCAGCAATAAAATTGAAAATCTATTTCAGTACAGTGGACAAAAACATACATTTTCTCTTTATGAGATAGCAAAAGGTCTAGCTAGGACGAAGAACTGTACCTATTGTTGAGATGGGTGCGGTGTTGGAATGATGTAACATCCCGCTGATGGTTCCTCTAGAGGGCGCTGCATCGCCCTGCTTGATGGACACTGTGATCGGGATGGGCTGCCCGACCATAGTCGTACCCTGCATCATCACCTGCCTCGTGGTGGTGCTCGTGGTCGACAGCGTCATCCCCGACGGGATCATGCCTGGCTGCGGGGCCGCAAACATCGTCATCGACGAGGACGACGAGGGCGTGGCGTACATGGAGGAGGAGGAGGAGGATGTCTGCTGGGCGGGGTTGGTCGTCATGACGATACCGGTGATGGGTTGTTGAGATGGGTGGGATGTCTGCTGGTGGGAAGGGGCGAGGTTGAAGACTGGGTTGAGAGGAGGTACCGTCTTGACAGGTTTGGGAGTGACGATGGGGAGCTGCAGCTGAGGCTGCACAGGAGCTTTGGTTGCTGGTAAAATCTTAGTTGAACCTGAAAATCAAAAAATAAACAATCATTAACAGAAAGCACCTTGATATCATTTATTTGAAACCGGACGGCCATTAGCTCTGTATCAAAGGATATGAGGACTATTGGTTTACACCCCGAGATTTCACAATGCAGAATCATTGATATAAATGTAAATAATCAATGAGCGATAATTCCAAAACGGTTTGAGATATAGATTAATTATTTAATAGAAGATATCAGTAACCTATGTATTTGTCAAGTTTCAGAATTAATTGTCACTTCATGAGGTGTTTGTAATAACAGCTATGAGAAGTGCAGTGGGGCTTTAATAATGAAGATTTTGCCGCCACTTTTGGGGAAAGTTTCCAGTTAGGATTCTTTACAATAATTAGGCCCTTTTATAAGGTTTGTGATTGTTACTGTGCGAACCCCTGCAATGCCCTTTGGCCCTTACCCTGAGTGTTGGCAGTCTTGACTGGCATGATGGCTGGTTGGATCAGAGCTGGTACCTGGATCTTACCTCCGTTCCCTCTCAGTGCGTCTCCTTGCTGGATGATCATAGGGCTGGGTGAGGCAGCGTGTGCTGGCTGTACATACGTCACAGTCCTGATGGGGAAGGGGGAGGCAGGGCAAACAATCATGGTTAATGGTTTATGATTTAACCACAGGTAAGCTTTGGCCGGCAGAGTGCCATGTGAAGGGGCATAATTTATCGAGACTGAAAAAAAAAAAAAAATCTCTGCCCTTCAAATTAGGAACCTATAGCAGCTATTAGTACATCCTATTTTTTATTCACATTATGTTATTTAAGTCGAGACACAGAGATTTTCGAAAACCACTAAAAAGTAGCATTTTGAGGACTTAAAATATCCTTTACCTGTGTATAAGACGCACCCCCGACTTTTGAACTTTTCCGGCGCAAAAAAAGTGCGTCGTATACACAGAGATTAACGGTATATAACTAGTGGACTGACCTTTGACCGTGTGGCAAGACGAATCTCTGCTGCTGTTGTGACGTGAGAAGCGCTGTATTAGCGATGGTCAGTGCCTGAGTGGATACAGTGCACTTGCCCATACCTGCTGCGGCCACAGTGACCACTGGGCTACAGGGCTGGGTGATGATGTTGACCGGCTGTGAGCTCGCCCCGGGACCTTTGGGTAAGAAAATATACATGACCTCTTTACTGGTGACATCAACAACTGCCTTTACAATTAATAACTCTGTTCGTATAGAAGATATGTAATGAGATTAAGACCCTCACACGGTAGAGAAAGATATTGAGTAACTAAGCAAATAGAATTGAAATGTTACTGAAGGATAAAGGGAGGTTGGATTGTATTTGGTCTTACCTATTGTGACTCTCTGTTGAGTTTGAGGTGCAGTCAAGTTGTTGGTCTGATAGCCCGAGGTCTGAAAGCCGGATGTCTGATAGCCGGAGGTCTGATAGCCAGAGGACTGATAGCCGGAGGACTGCGACACAGTGACGACCTGCTGGGCTAGGTTCATCGGTAGCGGTTGCGTCGTGATCACTGGGATAACCGTATGGATGTTTCCATGGTTGAAGATCTGTTGCGTTATCATGCCTGTGTTGGGTGCAGCATGGTTGATGGACGTAGCCGATATTGCATGTGGAGCAACCCCTGGAGCCTGATTGGTCACCAGAGTGACCTGGTTTGGCTGGGGTACGGCCTTGATGGTCACCTGTGACTGAGGTTGGGTCGGGGTAAGCTGAAGACTCCCGACCTGGACATTGGTGGTACCTGTGACCTTTGAACCCGTGTTGATATGTGCAGGAATGGAGGGCAGGATGTACTGGAGCTGCGCCATAGCAGGATTCTGGGTCATGTTGTACGTCTGCATCGGCACCACACTCCCATTCGGCTTCAAGACCAAGTTCGTCAGCACGGTTGGAGTCGTCGGGACCTGCAACGGTGCTTCCGCTGGAGGTGGGGTTGCGAGTATCTTCCCCTGAATCGTATTGACATTGACAGCGTTCGTTGCGATCATGTTGGTGGTGAGGGGCTTGATATTTGCAAATCCTGGCTTAGGAGTCGTTGGTGTACTGGGTGAAGCAATAGTCACACTTGTGAGTCCACCTGGTCTCCCGATCTGCACCACACCACTCTGGAACTCCATACTGGACGCCCGCTGCAAGGTAGATCTTCTGCTCATGATTGCTTGGACCGTCGACGGCACCAACGTCGCCAAATTTCCACCTCCTTGGACATTGCTTTGGATATCCGTCGTTCTTGCAACGATGACAGATGTTGGCAATGATTGGTTAAAGTTGGCCGGAGTAGACGATGGCCTGTTTGGAGCTATCGTCACATGACCAGGTACGATCACAGCCCCTGGGCTTGGTGCAATGCGCACGGTGGTTGGCAATCCAACCGAATGAGTGTTTCTGACCAGTGCCTCTCTGGGTGTGGAATGCTGAGGCTCTTGTCCAGAGACTCCAGTGTCCCTCTGGTCCTTCGCACTTCTATCATCAAATCCCTGATGCGTTGTACCCTGAATTTCCTTTGGTTCATTTGTCTTTTCCTGTCCAGCAGGCTCTGAGTTTGACACATTTTGCGGCTGACCAGAGTCAGCTCTTCCTTTCTTCCATGGATGATACTCATGGAAAGCTTTCGCTTTGCTCCCCCCGACAGCATCGGTCCTCCCGCGCGGAGAGTGTGCCTTGAACACAGCACCGGTGGGCTGGAACGTACTCTTCGACGTCACCGGTCGCGAAGCTGCACCATCTGTCTGATCCCCACCTATCTCAGTCCTGATTGGCGAGTTTGAATCAGGCTTGATTTTGATTGGCTTAGGCCTGTAGGGCTTGTCCGAGGGTGGAAGCTGCTGTTTCATGACTGGCGAAAAGCGCTGTTGAGGGAATGCTTTGTTCTCAATCGTTGTCTCATTTTCAGATTCTGTCTCAGAATCACTGTCTTCCACATTTTCCTTGCATTCCAGATCGATGCGTTTGCTTTGTGGTAAATTCTTCTTCTCTACATCAGCGGCCACTAAAAGAAACAAAATAATGGAATTGTCAAACGACTGTCCTTTAACATGCTTACTTTGGGGTAGAAAATGCATTGATTGGGAAGGATAACAGTCATATTCTTGTCATATGGATCAAAATTTTAAAAAAATGGAGATTGCAACATTATTATCAATACAGACACATGATCATTCTTTCCCATATCCTATTCAAGGCATTAAACTAAATACTTTGCCTCTTTTTGGACAGTCATTTTTCGGGATCATCCAAGACCAAAGTAACCTTTAATGTTCTTGAATTTCCCGAGAAATATTTCATTCACAAACAAGATGAGAACGCCTTTAGTAACCATCTGTACAGAAATATCACCTCCTTAATATCGGCCATATCTTTGTTTCCCTTGGAAGTGTTTTCATGGGAACTTTTTCTATTTCCAGGAAAATGTGCATTGAGACTACCTAAGTATGAAGAAACGCATTTCATGTATCTCTTGAGCGGTCTTTACAGACAGGTGTTACTGTATCTATAAAAGTGTATTCAAACATACCAATGACATCATCGTCACCCTCCTCATCGATCACCATCCTCTCCTCATCGCTCAGAGTCTCCTCCGATTCCAGCCTTGGCCTGGGGCGCTGCTTGAGAGGGGTGAGGGGTGCTAGAGGCTTGATGCTAGAAGGCTCGTCCCCTGCCTTGGCCTTAGGGGGCGAGGCAGTGCCGGGAGTACTGTCGGGATTGGGCGTCGTCTGAAAGATGCAAACCATAGAAAACATTGTTAGTAGTATAGCATCTTTTTTACTCCTCCCTGTCTTTGTCTGTCTGTCTGTCTGTCTCCCTCCCTCACTCTCTCTCTCTCTCCTTCCCCTCTCTCTTTCTCTCATATTCCCCTCTCTCTGTATCTCTCTATGTCTCTCTCTTTCCCTCTCTCTCTCTGTCTGTCTGTCTCTCCCTCTCTCTCATCTTCCTCTCTCTCTCTTTCTCTCTCATCTTCCCATCTTTCTCTCCCTATACATATATACATATCCCTGTATCTCTCTATCTCACCCCCTGTCTCCTGTCCTTTTCTTTTCCTCTCTCTCTTTCTCTGACCCATGGACCTTCCAATAAATGAGACCCAGCAAGTTGACCACACCATCTTACCTGCTTGGGCGTGGGCAGCGTCGGCCTTGGAGAATGGATGTTGGTCGGGCTTCCCATTGTCATGTGACTCAGACTCAGAGAGCGCTTCTTAGGAGGGAGCTGCAACATGGCCGCCGACTGACAACGCTCCATGGGCACTGGACTCTGTTTGATGGTAGAGGGCGGCATCTTCTCCTGCTCGGGGATGGTGACGAGGGCGGAGGTCCTGTCTGAATCGGATTTGACTTTAGAGAAAAGAAGAGATGGTTTTAAGATTTACCAGCGATGCATATTAACTTACAAGCCTGATATCTCCAATGTTTAGATGATATAAAAGCTATAACATAGTCTGAAAATGACTTTGAAATCTAAATGGGAGCCTGAAAACCATCATTCTTTTTGACATGTATGAAAACTAGTATTAAATCTGGATATAAAATGAAATGCAATTAATACCTATCCTAACCTAAACTTGACTTTTGAGATTTTTCCCCAAATGCATCAAATGCCTGAAATCTGTTGATATACATTGATTGTATTCTTTAAATATTACTGTAATAAAAAACTAATGTTACTTTTACAATACTCTTAAACATTTACTAGAGACCTCATATTTGGTACTCACCAGGTTCCCAGGCCGGACTTGGACCAGAGTCCGCACTATCAGACTCAAAGAGCCTCCTCTTCTCCTTGTGGATCTCCCCATGCAGGGGACTCCTGAGCCTTCCAGGACTCATCATCCTACTGGGGCTAGCGTGAGGCAACGAGCTCGGGCTAGCACGAGGCAAGGAGTTTGGGCTAGTCAGCTGACTGGGGCTGATCATGGGGAGTGGGCTAGTCAGGGGGCTCATCATGTGATGGGAAGGGGAGAGAAGCTGGAGAGGGCTGGTGACGGGACAGGGGCTGGTCAGAGGGCCTGGGCTAGTCAAGGGACCAGGGCTAGCCATAGGGCTGGTGGAATGAGCGCCGGTCCCGCCGCTGGAGGACTTCTTGCGTTCTCGGCTGCACCACTTCCAGTCTGGATGCGCCTTGAAGTGAGCCTCCTTCACCTGAAGGATGGAAACAATTATAAATAGATCAATTTCTACATGGAAGAGACATTAATCTACATTTGCCACACTTTACCCAGGTGAGGTAAATGGGTACCACGTAGGAAGAAATTCCTTTTATGCTTGAGCGCCTTTTAATAGTACATTTAGCTCTGCTAACTGAAAGCCGTGTAAATGTATGATTGCAGGACCCTCAGGGAGAACAATATTGATACTGATGAGGCTACCCTGGGTAAACAAGAAATGTCATTATTATTAAAGTTTTAAAAGCCAAGGATACACGGTACATAACGCCAGGATTCTTGCTAGTTCAGTACACATTTGGTGCTAATTCAGTCAAATCTGCTTTAGCAACCACTTGTCTATAAAGACATTTTTTTTCCCCTTGCAACGATGGTTCTCATGTCAATATGGGGTAAAATAAATTGGTCTACAAAGACCATCTTCTATACAGGTCTAACTATACCAGGGTCCTGTTTCACTAAACTTGTTCTCAAGTTACAATAACTGTGATAAGCTACTGAAATCTTGGCATTTGATTGGCTGAGAGCAAATTTGCCAAAGAAAATTAGCATTTTTGTTATTGGCAGCTTACTTCAGTCTGCTAATTCGCTTCTGAGAAAGATGTCTGAACTCTATACATCAATAGGTAAATTTTCCTTTTGGATGTGATTAAAGAACTCTAAAATCAGATCTACGGTTGATTGTCCATACCTGGAATGCCAGTTCATGGTATTTCTGTTTCTCCTTGGGCTTGAGTGCATACCACCATTCTCCTAGGATCTTACTGACCGTCCTGTTGTCCTGGTTAGGGTGTCTCTGGTGGACCAGTGCTCGATGACGCTTGCTGAAGATCATGAAAGCATTCATTGGACGCCTCACGTGGTCTTTATCTCGACTCTGAGAACAAAACAAAAATGGGTTCATCGCAAAATGCTCAATATTTAGATGTGAGGATTTAATGACTTAAACACCAGTAGACTGGAATTTTGTTAAAGTGAAACACAATTCAGTGTCCTTTTAGAGATAATTTTTTAATCTTTTAATCTAGAATGCTAGAAAATTACATGGTATATATATATAAATATATATGAGCAGAAGGAAAAAAATCACAACAAGTTTGGTATCTTTTGAATGCAGTAAAAGTATGTCGTGCTATTCATGAATGTTTAAGAGTCGATTTACTTCTACATTATTAAAAAGTTTAATCCGGTAATGTAGTATGAAATTCATAATCTATTTTCATGTGCAAATTAGTATTTTTTCTTTGTAAAATTTAATCCTTTTAATTCACATTGGTCCATTTTATACCCATGTTTTTTGACTTGGTAAGAGTGAAAAATAAGAACAATTGGTACCAACTTCATTTATGTGATTCATTTAAAAACCTTAAAAGCAGGGCATTGTACCGACATCGCTACCACTGCTATAATGTATTTTCAACTTCGCCATCTTTCAGTGAAGACGTATGAAGAGCGATTTCCGTTTCCTGTACCCAAGCCTGACCCAAGCATCATCACACATGTGCGACATGCAGTTGGTGATGCATTGTGGGACATTGTTGGTCTTCTATGAGAATATTTTGTATAAGTTACTTTAAAAGGCATACAATTTTGAAATAAATTATTAATATTTTCTATTTACCAACAGGGATTTCATGTTCTTGATGTGGAATTCATAAAAAAAACTAAAATACTTGAATTTTCGCTTTTGAATATATTTGATTTTAAGGCTACAAATGGCTTTCCATAGTTTTTAAGTCCAACTTAGAGTTAAGTTTGACTTAGGATCTTTGTGAAACACCCCCCTGGACATCATGAGCAGCAGATGGCAGGTTACCTAAATCTGAACCCTTTTAAGATAACACTGAACTGCTAGAGGTCATGGATAAATTTAACAAACAAAAGAATTTGTTTGACTGACCTTCCTTGGACTGCGAGGTTCCTTCTCATCTTTGGGTAGAGAGCTAAGGGACTGTGACCGTCTCTTACCAGGAGATACGCTACCAGCCGTGGGTGGGAAGGTGAATGCACTGGGTCTAGAAGGGGTGAAACAGAGACAACATCATTGAGTCAATGCCATGATGAATGATGATGGTGATGATGATAGTGATGATGATGATGATGATGATGATGATGATGATGATGATGATGATGATGATAGTGATCATGATGATGATGATGGTGGTGGTAGTAATGATGGTAATAATGATGATGATGATATGATGATGATGATGATGATGATCATGATGATGATGATGATGATGGTGGTGATAATAGTCATTGTGATAATGATAATTATGACAATGATATTGCTGATGATAATCATCCCAATAGTAATTTACAAATAATGATAACAATAGAACCACTGCCCTATGTCACACAAGGCACAAAAGGAGTGACTGAATAATTCTAGGAGAGAAAAGAGTTTGTTAAAGAGAATAATAATGCAAACGTAGTCACTAAAAAGTGGAAAAAGCTCGGCGCACCCAATAAAGACGTTTTCATCATGATTTAACATGCATTCAATGAGTTAAAGCCCCTCTGCACTAGTTTGGCCAGGAGGGATTATACCTTACTGCATGGTCACTGACAGGTGGCTATCTCATCAAATCAGCTCTCAATTAACATAAGAAAAAGGGGACCATGGGGGACCAATGCTCACTGATTAGGCATTGTTTGCTATGCAGTGCGTCCCAGAAAAAACGAAACCGAGAATTATCGATGTTTTATGTTTTATCATAACTCAACATACTTGTAAAGCTTAGATCCTCCTCTTTCATTTGATGCAACTCATATAATGCATATTTCACGCATGAGTGATTAAAATAATTCTCGGTTTCGTTTTTTTCTGGGACGTACTGTACAGAGGGCGCAACTAGCTATAAGTAGTGCAGTGGGGCTTTAAGAGATACAAGGGTGACTGGTGATGACGTCTTACCCTTCCTCTCTCTTTGGCAGGAGGCCATCGTGTTTGCCCAGGATGGTTGTTCCCTGCACTGTTCTCACCCCAGACAGCTTCACCGTTTCACCTGAGAGGAAGGAAGTAGATGAGAGATAGAGAGAGAGAGGAAGGAAGGAGAGAGAGAGAGGGAGAGAGAGAGAGGAAGGGGGAGAGAGAGAGAGAGAGAGAGAGAAGGGATAGGAAAGGAGAAAAGTGTGATATTCAAAGGAGGGGAGAGATACAGATGGGAGGGGGGAGAAGAGCGGATAAGAATAGAGCAAGGAGGATAGTAATAAAGGGTTGTAGGAGGGGGAAGAAGGAGAAAAAAGAATTGGAGAGATAGAGTTAGGGAGGGAGAGATGGGGAGAGATAAGAGTTAAGGAGGGGAGAGATAGAGTATGGGAGAGAGAAAAGTGGGAGATTTAAAGAGAGGGAGAAAGAAGATGGAGAGTGGGAAAGGTAATGAGACACGGAGAGAGAAAGAGAGAGGGGTGGAATATGGAAAGAGAATTATAAGATAGTAAAGAAAAGAGACAGAGAATGATGGGAAGAAAACAAAAGACAGAATGAGAGAGAAATATTCAAATAGAGAAAGGGGGATCAAAGAAGAGACGGAGGAAAAGAAAATGGTAAATCAAGTGGTGAAAATAAGACAGAAAGGGGAAGAATAAGAAGGATGGGATGATTCACAAGAAGAGACATAGAGAGTGAGAGGATAAGACATTGCTCATCAAACCAAGTTTGTCAAAGTTCTCTTTCTTTCAGTTGAGATTAAAATCACAAATCAGAAGCATCAACCGCAAGCTTTCCACTTTATGTACATTGCACATGTAACTTTCAACTTCACCTCCAATATGCATCCATTGATTGCCTCATTGGTACCTTTAACATGGTTGGCCTTCCTCGACATTAAATTTACAATTGATTGCAAGGCCAATACATCTATCCATCTGATTGATCGATCAATCATTTCTCAATGCTATCTTACAACATATCTGATTGGTTGTATGACACATGCTCCCGTGAAAATTGCTCCATAGTAATTTTCCCACACTGTACCAAAGACTTTACCTAACCCTGTTCCTAAACCTAACCTAAATCCAATCGAAACCGTAACCCTATTTAACGAAAGCCCAAAGCAACTGTTGCATCACCATTCGATAATAGGCTTGTTGAACGAATATGACCCGTGGGTGTTTCACAAACATCTCAAGTTGAACTTTATCTCTAAGTCGGACTTCAAATTTATGGAGAGCCATTAGTATCTTTGAAAACATCTTTTAAAAGTTATTTCAAAATGCATAAAATGAAGATTCATATGATTCATATTTTCTATTATCAAGGAGATTTTGTGTTCTTGGTGTGAAATTTATGAAAAGTAAAAAAAAAAAATGTTTTTTAATATATTTTATTTTAAGGCTACAATATGACCTGGACCTCAGTTTGAGCAATCAAGCTCCGCCCACTCATGACCTCATCGATTTCATTCACTCACCTTGCATCTGATTGGTTGCTGCTTGTTGATTGACAGGTATGGCTTGGGCCTCACTGGGTGTTGGAGAGGAGGAGGCGGAGGGATGGCTGATGTTGAAGATCGGGACCAGAGAATGCCAGTAGAAGACAGGCACGTGACCTGGTGGGACAACAACTTGTGCTATTAAAAAGGAAAGAAAATAAATACAGTCAAATTTCATTGGGTGACTACCTGCGCAGAAAGGCCACCTGTCTACAAAGACCACTTTTGTTTTCCTTAAATGGTTTCTCATATTTGAAACATGTACTAAAGGAACCTGTCCATAAAGACCACCTGTCTACAAAGACCACTTCATTTGTCTCCCTTAAAAATGATTTCTCATTGAAACATGTACTAAAGGAACCTGTACTTAAAGACCACCTGCCTATAAAGACCATTTTTTGTGTCTCCCTTGGGTGGTCTTTATAGACAAGTTTCACTGTATAGTAGAATTTCATTTGGTTCAGTATCGAAATGACGTCTGAGCGTGCGATTGTCTCCAATTTTAAACTGATTTGGCTTTTATCCTGACTAGAAGAGTTAAATGCACTAAAATTCTGGTTAATATTATTATCATAATTATTAAGAACCTAAATCAAGAGGAAAGAGGTTGTTTAGATTTCTGTATCAAATAAAACCGCCCTTTCTACAAAAATCTGAAAGAAGGAGGATCGAGAGGTGTGCAATTTTAAAGCCTGGTCAATTCTAGAAAGGACACCAAGAAGTTTAGTTTCCTCAATCCTAAAGCAACCAAGATTTCCCAAGGGTACAAAGAAGGATAGGTGTACCAAATATTAAACCTATCTTCCTGTTAAATCTAGACCAAAATATGCATAATACTGTCAGATTGCAGTTGGAAAAGTTTTTTTTTTTTAGATAGTATCCCAGAAATGTATCCTCAAGTTTAGTCCCATGATACTCTTCTGATAGTACATGTCACTATGAACATGACGGACAAAGAGAGCGGACAAAATATACAGTTCCTCATTCTACTCTCAACTATTGCTGTGGTAGACAAAGGAACATCCCTTCACTGCTATTATGCACAAATAAGTAGCACAGGTGAATATGCATGTGACACCTGTTCTACACATTTTTACATAATAGTAGTGAAGGTATTTTCCTTTGTCTACCACAGCAATTGTTGAGAGTAGAATGAGGAACTGTATATTTTGTCCGCTTTCTTTGTCCGTCATGTTCATAGTGTGTGCTTCATGTTCCCTCCCAAATAGATTGTACGTGGGAGGGGTACTATTTGGAGCTCCATGAATTGACGTTTGGTTGCGTACGTGTGCACATGTCACAACTATTCCTCTCAATACGCCATGACCCGGGGGAGGCAGTATCAACACTGCTCGTCCTGAGGGCCCTGTAATTGGTATTACTCTGGCATTACCAGGTACATATTTAATACACCTTGGTCAAGAGGGACGGCTGTGAGCAAAACACCTTGTCCAAGGACGTAAGCACCAATCGGGGATCAAACCCTGGAACTCTTGTATGAGAGACAGTGGGCTCTGGTGATAGATCGCAGAGCTCTGGCTATAAAGAACGAGACCATGACTATGAAACCCTGGAACTCTTATATCAGAGGCAGGGGGTTCTGGTGATAGATCACAGTGCTCCTGCTATTGAAGAATGAGACCATAACTAGACTTACCACTTCCATCTTTCTTTTCTCCTTTGCTGTTGTTGTCCTTTGCGGCCTTTGATGCCAGTGGTATCAAGGCCGACGGTGTCAGTGGGGCTTGACCCACCTGTTGCTCCCCTTGGGGTACGATCCGCCCCCCTTGCGTGGGAACCTCCCGCCCCTGGTCACCACTCTTGTGCTTCCTCCTGCTATCCTGTACAAACACATCATCTCCTGAATGTCCTTCCTTTGATAGCGCTACCTTACTGGTCTTCTCATTACTGGGGCTTGTCTGGGTTGCCTGGACATGAATGCTTCCAGACATCGTCTGATTTGGTGGAGCCAAGAGTGCAGCTCGCAGTTTGTTCTCAGACGGTGGTGGAGGGAACTCAAAGTGGCTTTTCTCTCCTTGAGGCTGATGCTGCTGTTGCTGCAGGTGCTGCTGAACTTGTGTCGGTGCTGCTCTTTGCTGCTGCTGCTTGGCGACGTTGACCGGCGATAAGATGTGCTGTCCTGACAACTGGCTGGGCGTGACCGATGAAGACCCAGAGAGCTGGGCCGAGACGGGTGACTTGGGGGTGCTACCACTGAGCTCCACTCCAGAGTCCTGGCTATCTGTTCTCCTGGAATACTCGCGTTTGGCGTGCTCCATACGAATCTGGAGCTTGTGAGGACTGACCGGAGTGGCGAAATTGAGTCCCGTCTGAACAGTTGGGGTAGAGCCGGAGCTGTGACCAAGCTGGAGTCTAGGAGACGTAACCTCAGATGATCTGCCAGAGATTGGAGTACTGCTTCCCCAGCGGCTTGGAGTGCCAGAGTGAGAACCGTGTTGCATCTGAAGACAAACAAAATTCAAACATACAGGATGTGTTACCAGAAATCCTCTAGGAGTCGTCAATGTTTCTATGAACCGACAAATCAGTCCCTTTTACATCAAGTTTAAAATTTTCATTTTTTTTTTCTTCTTTTTCCTTCTGTTCATTAATTTTGATATGAGAGCCAAATTTAAAGGGGAAATGTAAACAAGGTGAATTAATCATTTTAAAAAAGAATTAGTTTGTTAAAAACATCTCAACTTTGAAATGCGTTAATCTTAGAAGTAACATTTACCATTAGGATCGTTGTCCTCAGTTTATAATATAAAAAACAAAGTAATGCCCAGAAATTATCCCAAAAAAATTAGGGTCTGTTTGGCAACTCCACAATCTTGGGTGCCTACATATAATATTGCACACGGAGGTGATGACAGATTTGCTGAATAATTTTTTGTAAAAATATTTTATTTGTCTATAAAATGCTGATTTCAATGGTACATGAAGGATAGACTTTTACGGTAAACACAATCACAGTGTAAAGCACTTTCAAGCTAGATTATGATCATTATAACTATTTTGTATTGTTCTTTAAAATTGTTTCAAAATGTTATTTTCACCCTGTATCTCATGATTGATCATTCCCTACCACATTTATGACATTAAAAGAAACGCAATCAACAAACACATTTATCAAAGGGTAAACAACTACCATTAAACTCGCCGCCATTAAAGATGGATATCTATCAAGGTACATTACATGATGACCCATAAGGAACATTAAAAACCCAAACATGAGCACAAAATAAAAGACTAAGGATTTAAATGAGGGCGGTGAGGAATACTGATGTTGGTAAAGGTGCTGTCTTGGGGACATATAATTTGATGCTAGGTTGGACAGGACGGCTTGCAAATAACCAATTACTTTAGTTATAGCAGTCTGCTACATGCCGCTTTGGGTGAAACAGAGATATTCATTTCACCGATTGAGGCACATGACCTGCATACAAAAGAGACAATATATCGCAGGTGTTTCCATTATCCCCCGCGACATGGGTGGAACAGGGCGATGCAAAGTGCTCATGCAAACATGGGGCTTTTAATAGCAAACATGGAGAAAGTACGAACAACTGTGGGGAGAAACAGACCATGAAACACCTTTTAGTCTGTTCCCTCCTCCCAGAACAATAAAATCTTGAAGACATATGGAGTTTCAACGCCAAGGCAAGTTCCTGCCTCCGCCACTGGTCCAGGCAGAAGATGAAGAATGGGTGCAAACCACTGGAGTGGACCAATCTTCAGTTGATTGCACAAATCATGCTCTGGCAACAACTGACCATGGTCAATTTCCTACGATAACCAATTAACTTCAACCTTGAACCCAATACTACATGTACATCCGATCGCAACCTTAAACCTAACCCTAACATTTTATTTATGACTATTTTGACCACAGTAATTGTTGTTTTACTAGTTCACCCCTGAGTTTCACAGGAGATTCTTGTCTAGAGCTAGACAGGCTCTGTGACTAGCAGATGAAGTAACTGCAACACATTAGTTAGACCATATGCCTTTAATACCGATCAAACACTTCTAAACTAGTTGGATAGAAACATAATGGGCCAAAATTGAACTAATCTGCAACAAAGTCAATTTATCATTTCTCAGTGGAAAATTTCCTTGATCAATTATTTAATTTTCATACTTGATTCAATTCATCCTGTACATGTAAGTTAACAAAAATCAAATCCTTTGTATTTCAGGAAAGAATAGGAAAAAATCCTTAATGATTTTGGTAAACAGAGCATCATGAAAAGACTGCTATCAGCTAGCCTAGACAATTGAAAGCTTCAACCATTCTGCCTAAAAGAGCATAATGAAAACACTCCCATCACCAAGTGGGATTTTCCTATAGATACAATGCCCAAATTTCTGATTTTTGTTTCCCTTCTGTTCATATTTCTATTAAAGGAATCAGCAAAATAAGATCAGAAAGACTTCATTCAAGCACTGATATTAGAACCACAAACAGCTGAGGCAGGAAAGACCTCTTGACTATTAAGAGCATGACAAAAACACAACTAATAAGAGTTAATATTTCCACTGTGCTTTTACAAGAGCTGCAATAAAAGCACTTCTATGCACCATCGCAAAGAGCCCAGGCAGGGTAGACTTCCATCATCTTGCTTTAGAAGGGATAATGATAACACAACCCTGCGCAACCTAATTTCCCTTTTCAGGTGGCAGTGGTGGGATTTGATTACATATGAAGAGACTGGACAGGCTAGCTGGCTAGCTTGGCCAGAGTGGATGGCCTAGGATAGCTTTCACTAGCTCAGTCTCACTGGGATCAGTGACAGGGAATGCTTGAATCATCCAGTCTTTCAGAAGCATACCTTCATTTAAAGCCCCACTGTACTACGTATAGCTGCTTGCACCCTCTATATAGCAAACCATGCCTAATCGGTGACCATTGGTCCCCCATGATCCTCTTTTTCTTATGTTAAGTGAGAGCTGATTTCATGGGATAACCACCTGTTATCCCATTCAGAGATTTAAAATTGGGGGATGACAGGGAATAATGGTAAGGGAACTTTCTTGATTGAAACATTGATTAAAAATGTTGAATCTTTTATGAACGTACCCTCAGATCAAGCCCCATGAGGGTCTTACCACTTGAGGTCTATGCCGACACTCCACAAAAGCCATCATTATCATCACCTTGTCTCGACAGACAATATCCCAAGCTTGTTAACCATCTGTGCCAACAGCAATATGAAAATAACATCTTCTTCTACAGAACTTCAATTAATTTCCTGTTTTCCTGTTTGGACATTTCTAATGTTTCAGCTTTAATTATAAGTTGGACAGATGGCAAGAAGAATACCCTGATGGACATACAACTCTTTACATCAACTCTCCTGCATCTAGGAAGACTAAGGACACAAAAATCTGTCTAACAAAGTTGTCTGGTTGCAGTGGCCAGAATGGTAAGAGGCAAAAAAGGAGTCTGCAATGGTCATTGGTCACCAGAATCAAGAGGTCAATATACCTGATAGATGGACAAGAAAGTAGCCTGGCCATGGTGGCCATAGTGGTTCAAAAATTAATAACCAACCGGTCAATTTACTTGAGAAATGGACAAGAAAGTAGCCTGGTAATGGTGGCCAAAGTTATTCAGAAATGAATTACCTACTGGTCAATTTACTTGAGAAATGGACATGGAAGTAGTCTGACATGCAAAGTAGCAACACAAATCAGTTACGGTCATTTTACCTGAGAGATGGGCATGAAAGTAGTCTGGCTGCTGTGGCCAAAGTGGTTAAAAAAATAACCTTGTGGTCAATTTACTTGAGAAATGGCGATGAAGGTAATCTGGCATGGCCAAAGTGGCAACAAAAAAATCAGTAACGGTCAATATACCTGAGAGATGGGCATGAAAGTAGTCTGGCTGCGGTGGCCAAAGTGAGCAGGCGAAGGGGTCTTGGAAGCAGATCGGGGAGAATGGGGAGCCGAGTGGTGCTGTATCGGTGCGAAAGACGGCGTTCCCGATCGCGAGTTGCCCAATGAAATCAGCATGTTGGCAGCCTCTGCCTCGTCCATGTCAAATTTTGACGGGTCAATCTGGGGTCGCGAGTCTGAAATGAAATAAACAGTGGATACGTTTTTAAGGATACTTGTAGGAAAAAAGATTAAGAAGGATCCAAACTTGCATTATTTTCATATTCCTTTGAAGTTCTGAACCTTATGAAAGACTCTGTTTCAAAATCTATCCTAATCCTATGTCTGATCTCCACTAATCTCATACGTGAAAACTGGAGGTTTTTGTGTTCCCTCTTTTGCTGGACATCGAATACAAACGGCACACCGCAGAAAGGATGGCATTCCAGAACATAATCTATTAAACCATATAAAACACTGTATCTTCTTCCAGTTTGAATATATGAAAATATCCTGAAGGGCTTCACAGAAGCATCATGTACCTTTTCCTAACACTTAGAACATCATGAGCCACTAGATACTTGTTTCCTTGAAAGCCACAAAGCTTTTTAGACAAAAAATAGATCAAAATGTTGTTTCCCCAAATCATAGTTTGAGCCATTTTGGGAAAGGCTGAAAGATGACAACAAAGGGTTTTGTCAGTTTCTGTGTTAAGAGGAGGCCAGGAAGCTTCCAATTGAAAAAAGAAGGGGTGACAATCCACTTTTTACAAAAATCTGTTTGGTACTGGTAATGATCAAAAATATATTGTTACAGAAGCCAACTATTACCACGTATCTATATGTACATAAATCATCTGCAGAATAATATGAAAAGCAAATGTGCAACTGTGGATTATTAAGACCTTGAACTTTTTTTAAAATCCAAATTGAGCTGTAGCTCACACATATCTCTTTACTAATTGAACTTTACCTGATTGAACACTAACTTTACTATTAAAGGAATGACATAGAATGAGCATGTGCAGCATACAAAGGCTTCATCTCTTCGCAGCTGAAGATCGTAACCTTCGAAAACCTAGATTTTGTATCAAATCATGGTCTTTCAAATTGAATTAGCATGTATTTGAATTACTACCATGACTATTCGGTCAGACCATCATTGAGATCGTAATGATTTCATATGTGTAAAATATGTATATATCACGTTCATTCAAATTGCTTAACTCCATATTCACTCTGTCAATAATCCTAATTTTCATTCATTGTTACTTGCATGAATACTATGAATATTCAAATTGCAACCATCTCCAGTTTCCTAAAATACACAAACATACAAGTACTTGAACCTATAAAAAGTTCATTACCCCAAAATAAAAGGGGAGATATGGTATTAAGATCTTGACTGGTTTTCATGATTCATCCTCCATTATTAGTATTTCCTCATTACCATTACTACCCTCTCTCTCTCTCTCTCTCTCGATCAAACACATGCCTTTGTTTCAGTACATACAAGATTTACTTGCTTCAATTATACAAAGATGAGTCAGGTTAGGCAGGATCGAGAACAAAGAAATGAATCAACTTCTCAAAGATAGTTAAAAAAGATGCGATGACGCAATGCAGATAATCGAGGCATGAAATATGAAAGGATGACAAGTCCCCACTTTCTCGTCCATTTTAATCCCATCCTACTTTACATCCCGCATTATAAAGTCTTGATGATCATCTGAATCTATTGATCAACCTTATGTTCTATTACTCCTCTTTCTCATCCATTTTGTCTCTTCGTCTCACTTTGTGTTCTGTCTCCTTTTTTTCCGTATCCTTTCTTCCACTTTGTCTTGTCTTTTAAATTTTCTCATTCTAATATTGTCTTTCTCATAATTTGCATATTCCACAATCTTGCATGCTCGCGGGCTCTCTCTCTCTGTATATGTGTGTGTCTCTCTCCCTTCTCTCTCTCTCTTCTCTCTCTCCTCTCTCTCTCTCTCTCTCTCTCTCTCTCTCTTCCTTTTCCCCTATCCATCTCTCTCCCTTTTCTTCCTTTTTCCCTTTTTTCCTTTCTTCTTCTCCCTCTCTCACTTCCATTTTCCTGGAGAAATGGAAAGACGCAAGCAGCATTCCTCCCTATAATCTTCAATAATGATAGAAGGTAAAGATTAGTCTAAATGTATATTTTCATCTTAAATCCAGAATCACCTAAAAGTATAACCAAGGAGAGGACGGAATACATCCCTGAGCCTGAGAGCCAGACTAGACGACACCATCACACTCGCAGCTTTGCAAAGTCACTGTGACAATCCTGACGCACCTCTCCGACAATCCCATACACGAGATGCCACTGCGAAATGAGAAAAAAAATCTCATCGAAGGGAACGAAAGGGGAAAATATTTGCTTTTATTTTTGAGCCATTACTGTAATTGGTTGATGAGTGCATACCTCATGCGTCTTCTCAGCCATTACACCCACAATCAGAGCTATATGTGCATGTAGTCAAGCCAATTATTTCGGTTTCATTGCGATATATTGAGAGCATTATTTGTCATGCAAGGCACATGTGTTAACTGAGTTGATTGGTTGAAAATGCGCTCTATTTTTAGGCCGAAGACCTTTTCTGCCTTGCCCTCGTTGTTGAAGAGCAGTACAACCATCATGTCTGATTAAAATTGGGTAATTCAGGGATGGAATAGGTATGCTCTATAGGCCTGCATGTGTTATTACACAACATTCTAGAAAGAGGAACTTAGAGGGATTGGAGGGGAACTTGGAAAGGGAACTCAGAGAGAGGGGTAGATGGAGAGAGGGTCAGACAAAAAAGAGGAGAAAAAAGAGGACACCATAACATAGAAAGGTAAGGCAAGAGGGGAATGGGAACGGAGAGGGTACAAAAAAGGGTATACAAAATAAAAAGACAAGGAGACAGAATCAAAGTGTGAGGGCGGAGGAAGATTCAGACAGAGAAAGAAAGAAGTTGGATAAAGAGAATGAACAAAGTTCAGAATGTCTTATAAAGTTGACAAAGAAATGTGGTAATCTTTGTTTTTAATATTGAAATTACTGGAATTTTGTCCAAGACAAGCACTTGCTTTATAAACCACATTAATAACCGAATAAGAAAGAATACAATCAATCACAATAAACTCTATGAGTTTCGATTAAGAATGTTTCAAAACACAAAGCCATGCATTATTGAACCCTGTTTTACCAGAAGCACCAATGTTTCAATTAACTTAAAGATAAACTTGAGTTATGGTAAAAAAAAGAAAATGAATTCTCACAGAATCTAACGAAACTTACACTGAATGTTCAAGATTACAAATAAATGTCATGTGTCAAATAATTTTGGAAGAAAATGTATACTGGCTGAGTAATGAGCATAGAAAGATAAGGAAATCAGGGTAGTACTAGCCCCGACACCATGTGTGTTGTCCCATATACATCTTTCTGTGTAAGCGATTGTTACTTAACCAAGACTCTGCCAAATTTGTGATGATTTTGATGACTCCAGAACCTTGCATTACACACCATTACTTACATGCTATATGATCAACTTTTCTGATCCATTCCACACCTTTTCTTTCACAATGCAATCGCATTACCAGAACTCAAGTTTATCTTTAATTTGGGCTGCTCTTCTTACTAACCAGGGAAGAGAGAGGTGCAACGTGGGAGGATAGGAGGAAACGGATTAAGGATTAAGGATCAAGATAAAAGTAATGAAACAAATTGAGTAGTACCATGTTGTCAGGTTCACACTAAATAATCCTATTTCCAAAATTAAAAAAAAACGACCTCTTCAAAATTTCTTTGTTTACATGACGTTTCTTTATACAATGTTGCTTTGTAGTCTAACTGTAACTCTTCTTTCACTATACAAAGATTCTTTCTATGTTTCTCAATACGATTCTTTATACCATTCTTTAAACGTTTCTCTATACAATTCTTTATGCGTTTCTTTATACGTTCTTTATACATTTTTTATATGTTTCTTTATACGTTTCTTTATACTTTTCTGTTATAGTCTGAACAGTATATGAAGGACAGGGACACTGACCAACCAACACATCAAATTTGTATCAAATGACGAGCATATCTTTTCTATCTATCAGCTCTAGCACTTAATTCCTCCTCCAGAGTCCATCCGCTGCCCGTAACACTAAACTAAATTGTAAAATAACTTTACCAAAAGCTCATCAACTTAAACGAACAAAGATAAAGCACACTGATTTCATTAATCGTAAAAGGATCTGGCCGAGAAGCAAAGCAGTCGCCTCTCGAAAAAACATCCTAAGCCCTCCCACAGTGGCAGAATGTCTCGGCCCCGAAGTTCGCATCAAGTTCAGTGTTTCATCATCCAAAATTCAACTGCGATATTGCATAATGTCAAAAACATACCAAGCAATCAGTGGGGAGAGGGGCTCGTGTAGGTTCTAAGGAGAATGCCTGAAATCGAGCAAAATCGACGGAAAGTACATTATGTCGTCTAGAAGAACTACATGAGCAACTGTGTGTTTCAATCGCTTATCTTCCCTCTCTCTCTCTTCTTACAATTCTTGTTCCTTCCAAGTTTAATAATTCTTTTTCTCCCTATTTCCCTCACTTCTTTTCTTTTTCTGGACATTTTTCTTTCTCTCCTCTCTGTTTCCTTTTATTTGTTTATAAATATTTTGACATACTGTAGTTATACTGATGAAATTTCAAGGATGGACTTGTATGATCTTGCTACTAAATGTAACCTCAGTCACTTCATGCCAATAGAAAGTTTCTTGAATATGTAAGTCTTGGGGAATATCCCTTATTGTCACTTGGAAATGTCACTTGCAAATGCAAGGATTTAATTTAACCCACCAATGGCATTTATACCAAAGTCTCCATATGAAATATTAAGGAAAATTTCACAATATACATGTCATTATCTTTCACCCTTTTACGATTTTTCTCATTTTTCCCTTCCCCCCCCCCCCCCCCTCTCTCTCTCTCTGCCTCTCTCTCTCTCTCTCTCTCTCTCAGTATTTCTCTCTATCTTTCATGTACATCGATCTCTTCCTCTGCCTCCTTCTCCATTCTCTTTCTTTATTTCTCTGTCCCTCTTTTTCTCAATACCTCTTTCTCTCTCTTTCTGTCCATCTCACGTGCTAGCTCATTCATCTTCTAGATCTTTCTTTGCCTCTCTCCTCACTTCCCCTCTCATTCTCTACATCCCTCTCCCACCATC